TTCCGCGATATTGGGGGGGGGGGGTACCTGCTCGGGATCAACCGTCTCCGCGTACTTCTTGATCCTCGAGCCCTTGACCGCCCTCTTCCGTACGGCTAGCGTCAGCGTTCGGTGGGCCTTGCTCAGCACGTTGCTCGGCTTGAACGAGATCTTCTTGGTCAGCTCGCCCTGGCACTGCAGCACGCTGCCCTCTTCCGTCATCTGCTGCACGAACAGCGCGCTCCTGCAGACGAGATGCCAAAACAAATCCGAAAAAAAAAAAAAGGAAGAGGAAGAGAGTCTGGGGTGCGGGAGTGCAGACTGGTAAGTCTGTGGGGTGTGGGAGACACAGCGGGTGGGGTCATCAGTCGGTCATCTGCTGCACGAACAGCGCGCTCCTGCAGGCAGAATACCAAACACAACAAAAAAAAAGGAAGAGGAAGAGAGTCTAGGGTGCGAAAGTGCAGACTGGCATGTCTGTGGGGTATGGGAGGACTTTCGTTGGACCTGCGGTGGGAATAGCGCGCTTCCGCAGGGCGAGAGGTGAACGATCCGTTTCCCCGCTGCCACCGCCACACCCCCCCGACCGTAGACAATCCTGCGACTTAAACACCCCCCCGCCTGTCGCGCCAAACCCTGAAGGTGGGCGAAAAAAACAATGCCCAACTGAACCGCACCAGCGTAGTAGGAAATAAACCAACGAGGCCTTAAGCACGTGCATCACCACCAACTCCCGTCTACGTACTCCTTGTGACGTGTACATAGCCTGGGGCGGCGATATCGCTCCTTCACAGGATGCGAAGTCAACGGTCAAACTACTCACGAGATGCGCCTACAACCCCCCCCCGTTCTTTAGAATGACACCGCACAATATGGTGCACGACGCTCGCCTGTCGATAGAGTGCTCCTCGACGTCGAAGGCCTCGTCGCCCACTAGCAGTTGGGTCGATCCGTCGCTCCATCTAACGAGGCGGGTGTTGCTCTCCCTCAGGGCCCTGCCGTCGTCTCCCAGCTCCGGTCTACCGAGGTTGCCCCGCTTGTGCCGCCACCGGATGATGTTGGTCGTGAACTTGAACTCATCCGCTTCCTGAGAAGAATAACCATCAGTGTATAGGCTTAAAACAGACCCAAAACTAAGCCAGGTGAGTAGTTTATTTCTTTCCACTCACTGCTGTAAAGACTCCAACGCATCCCCTTCGACTACTGCTGTAGCTATGTCTCGAACGGGTAGTCTGTGGCTGTTTATGTTTTTTAAGTACAAAAAATCGGAGGTTTTGGAAAAAAAACAGTAGTGGTCGAAACACAGCAGTCAGCAAGGAACAACGACAACGGGAAGTACAGAGAAAAAAANNACCTTTAGCCCCCCCCCCCCCCCCCCCCCCCCCCCCCCCCCCCCCCCTGAGCGGAGAGGAACGTACCGCCTCTGCTTCGTAGGTGTCAGGGTCGAAGGCCTCCGTTTTTACTCCCAAGATGTTCGGCAGCCGCGATACCATCACGTCCGCCTCTGCAGGTGGCCGCGGTAGCACCGGAATCTGAAAGCAGCAGCAGCAGCAGCAGCAGCAGCAGCAGCAGCAACAGCACGGAGGAGAAGGAGACGACCAAAGACACAAGAGAAGAGTTACAACCACAACAACAGGGACATGCACAGAAAGATGACAACGGCAGCGACGAATATCACTACCGAGAGAATGAGAGAGAGAGAGGAAGAGGCTTTTTTTGCGCTGAATCGCATGAGCGTCCACGAAAACGTCAGAAATGCGTCCGGGAGAAAAAAATATATATATATCGGGTCGGGAGAGACGACACTGACCCGCGTACCCTGCCCCATCGACGGGGCCCCTTGTCAAGATCCAGCATGGTGCCCTCTCCGGCACGCCATCATGCACACAAGTACGGGCTGGGATGAGAGTCAAGTGACCCTCTCGCGGATCAAAACCACCTCTTTCATGATCGGTGTGTACATGACGAAGTCAAGTCACACTCAGGCTGGCCGTATCAACAGTCTACCGCACCGCCCCCCCCCCTCTCTCCCTCCCTTTACCTAACCACCATTTTCACATTCCTCTCTGGTCTAACTGTAGGTTTTGTCTGCCTCCCTCTCTCCCGCCATGAAACTAACTACCAATTTCTTATACATGTCTTACCTATCTATCCGTATGCCTTGTCTGCCCGCCTCCCTCCCCCAAGACTGAGCTGTCTTCCTATCTTCCTATCCGCCTTTTCTCCGCGGCGGCTGGGCTCTTCCTGCTTCTTCTTACCTTGAGCTTCCGGTCCTCGAGAGGGGTAGGCGGGGCCTCCATCTCCTCGTCCTCGTCGCTGCTCCCCCCGCGGGCACCCCCCGCCCCGTAACTGCCACCAGATGAGGCGGCACCGTTCCCAGCCGTGATGCCTCCTCTTCTCGGACGAGGAATTAGATAGGCGTTTTTTACGGGAGGGGGGCACCGGCGGAAATATCCCACCAGGGGGAGGGGGAGGCTGAGAGGAGCACTAGGAGGAAGGCTTGGTGCGTGAACATTTCATTTTTCCGACAGCGAATCGTCCTAACTCTTGAAGCAGAAGAATAGCGAAGAACGCCACATGGTGTTGATCGTTATCGAGGTGGAACTGGGATATGCATACAACTTGCGTAAAATACAGGTACAACAGCTTGCGTTGCTACTTTGCTACACTGATGTTCGTCACTCACCCTTCCCCAAACATGTCTTCGTCCTCACTCGAGCCCCCCCCAGCCGCCCCGTACCTCCCTCCACCTCCTCCTCCTCCTCCTCCACCCCCCCCTCCTTTCGCCGATTCAGGTTGCTCCTCTTCCTCCTCCTCTTCTTCCTCTTCCTCTTCGTCGTCGCCGAACAGATCCTTCCTGAAAGCACACAGAGGACGGGGGGGTACTCATGAAAGTTATGCCGGGTCGTTAGACCATAGACCTCGCATCCCTGTACCACAATGCAATGACGGAGCAATACGTCGGATCTTCACCGGCCCATGTCACATTTCCCAGAAGCTGGCCATCATCCTTGGGTTTGCTGTGCGAAACCAGACATGCCATGGGTTGATTGGGCATCCCGGCCTTCCCGTCAGGGGGGG